TCCTCCTGAGCAGACAGAAAGCCCACTGTGCTCATCATCTTCAAACCCGCTCATGAAGGCAGCAATCTGATTAACTCCCCTAACTTACATGCTGAGAAAGAGGACACAGCCTAGTAATTCAGTGCTGATTCCTAAGGAGTCATTTTCTCCTCACCTTCCCTTCTGCCCCCACGAGGTGGTCTTCACCAGAAGTCTCAGTCGTGCATTACCTGTATGGGCGAGAGAGAGTGCGAATGCAAGAGAAGGCTGGGCAGCTGCTTGTAGGGAACTGGAGGGTAATTCCAGAGGAGGGCACATTTTCTGGATCCTGCAGTGTCCACCATCCCACAAGGATAGCAGAGTCTGGGAAGGACGGGACGTGGCCTGGCCAGGTCGGGAGGTGATGACGAAGCGGGAGAGGATGGTTTCTTGGTACTTACCTGCAGAACAACCTGCTCCTGCTTTGGGTTTATTTACTCAAGGAATATTTGTTGCTTGCCTGTACTTAGTGTCAGGCAACGTGGGAGATATAAAGGCTAGTAAGACAACATTCCTGCCATCGAGGGGTCACAAACCAATGGAAAACAGAGGCATCTATGGAACAAACTCTAGTCTAATCCAGAGGTCTCAAAGTGGGGCAGGCAAGAGCATCCTTTGCAGTGTGGGAAGAGACTATGAGAACTCCTATTTAGACTTATTTCCTATAAGAATAAAGAAATTACACTTTAAATAGTTAACATTCCAAATGACACTGGTGCCCTCACAGGATGCTTATGTCTTGTGGTCATGTGTCGTGAATGGTTCCCTGGAAAGGGAAGTCCATAGAGGAGGAAGTGACGGTGGGTTTACCGACCACATTATCTAGGTTTTAGTCCATTGATCCTCACAACTGGGCAAGTCGCTTAAAACACTACAGCAAAGAAACTGCAAAGTGAAGGCGATATTAGTGATGTGAACACATAAAAAAATAAAGAAATGGCAGAGCTAACATTCTGCTCCTCATGCAGGCTGTTAGTCAAGCCCATTGCCGGGTAAGGAATACACGAGGAACTCGAGTCTGGCCGATGCTGGCCCAAATAAAACTAAAAGTTGTAGAAAAGTGTATTTGAAATACTGATTAGCATCTGATATCACTAATGATGTATCTCTTACTAAGTATAGTGTACTTGAGATACTGGCTTATAAAAATATATAGTTTATGAATAAGTAAATAAATATACATATATTAGGAATATATACTCAACTTTTTTTTTAGCTGGTAGAGGTGTGCAGTGAAAAAGCTTGGTGATCACTGCTTTAAGGTAACAAATGCAGAAGAATGAATGAAATGTCACCAGATGAAGAAGCGGAGAGCGTCATTCTAGGTCGATGGAACAGTATGAGCAGAAACGCAGAGGCTCAGAAAGCGTGTCCTAAAAAGGAGATCAGCGGGCAGGTCCAAGTCTCCGGGAATGCACTGTGCCTAGGCAGAGGGCTGGCAGCGAACCCTAGGGAGGGAGATCGCCCCCAGATGCAAAGGGTCTGAATTCTGTGCTAAGAATTTGGACCATATGCCATGAGCTACAGGGACGCAATGGAGAAGCAGGGTCAAGGAAGGGCCAGACCCAACTAGCAGTGTAGATGTCTCTGACGTCACTGTAAGGAGCAATAAATGATGAGACTGATACTGGTCTTAAAAATATCTACCATCTGTCTGTGTAACCTATCATCTATCTCTCATCTGTCTATTGTTGAGGAACTTGGAGCACTATATTAGCTCCAAGACAAAAAATGCCACTTGACATTTAGGAGATACTGAGAAACAAATCCTCTTTTTCCTCCTTTTTATTATTATTTTATTTATTTAATTTTTTTTGGAGGGAGATTAGCCCTGAGCTAACTGCTGCCAATTCTCCTCTTTTTGCTGAGGAAGCCTGGCCCTGAGCTAACATCCATGACCATCTTCCTCCACTTTATACAAGGGATGCCTGCCACAGCATGGCGTGCCAAGCGATGCCATGTCCCCACCCAGGATCCAACTGGCGAACCTCCGGCTGCTGAAGCAGAACACACAAACTTAACCACTGCACCACCAGGCCAGCCCCTCATTTTTATTTTTAATTGTGGTAAAATCTACATAGAAAATTTGCCATCTTAACTTGTTTTTTTTTTCCTTTTTCTCCCCAAAGCCCCCCGTTACATAGTTGTATATTCTTCGTTGTGGGTCCACCTAGTTGTGGCATGTGGGATGCTGCCTCAGCGTGGTTTGATGAGCAGTGCTGTGTCCGCTCCCAGGATTCGAACCAACGAAACACTGGGCCTCCTGCGGTGGAGCACGCGAACTTAACCACTCTGCCACGGGGCCAGCCCCTACCATCTTAACTTTTTTTAAGTTTACAGTTCAGTGGCATTAAGTACGTTCGCACTGCTGTGCAGCCATCACCACCATCCTTCTCCAGAACTCTTTTCATCTTGCAAAACTGGAACTCTGCCCATTAAACACCAACTCCGCGTTCCCCTCCCCCAGCCCCTGGCACCCCCTTCTTTCTGTCTCTATGAATTTACCTACTCTAGGGACCTCATACACATGAAATCATACAGTATTGGTCTTTTCATAACCAGCATATTTCACTTAGCATAATATCTTCAAGTTTCATCCATGTGTGTGGCATGTGTCAGAATTTCCTTCCTTTTTTTTTTTTTAATGTTTACTTCTGTTTCATGGGCAAAGGAGCTCTGTTTTGTTTTTTCCAATTTTGTTTTGGGGGAGGTTTTTGGTGAGGAAGATTGGCCCTGAGTTAACATCTGTGCCAATCATCCTCTATTTTGTACGTAGGATGCCCCCAGAGCATGGCTTGATGAGTAGTGCATAGGTCCACGCCCAGGATCCAAACCCACGAACCCTGGGCAGCCAAGGCAGAGAACGCGAACTTAACCACTACACCACCAGGCCCCAGATTTTCCTTCCTTAAGCTGAACAATATGCCGTTGTATGGATATAGCACATTTTGTTCATCCATTCACCTGTCGATGGACACGTAGGTTGCTTCCACCTTTTGGCTGTTGTGAACAATGCTGCAATGAACATGGGTGTACGATATCTCTTCAAGACTCAGCTTTCAGTTCTTTCGGGGATATGTGATAAACTAAATCTTTCGATAAATTTCCTTTCTAGGGGTTATTTTGAAAGTGGTAGTGAGTTCTCCCAGAAGTTCTCTTAATACATTATTTACTTGAAAATGTACCACCAATATGTAGTGGCCATTCAAAAGTAGGCTGGGCATGTCAAGCCAGGCGTTCCTGTTCAGAAGCTCACCGGTTTCTGCATCGAAGACTGACTCAGTGCTGACCAGGCATCTAAATCCAGGAGGCAAAAGCTGTTACTATACTCTCTGTGTGGATCTATCCATCTGAAGACCGTGCTATAATTTGATTCAAATGGCCAGCAAGGGTCTAGGGCAGATGTAGAGAGAGAGGGTGAGCTGCCCAGACCTTTCCCAGCAGCAGCTGGTGGCCGGTTTCTAGTGTGGGCTGGTAGCCCTGCAGTCACTAACACTAGAGAAACGTGCTGCTGAACTTTCACCCGGCGCCGCATCGTATCCTCCCGCGTGTACTCCTTCATTTCATAAGGCGCTTATTTATGTTTGTCTTGATTTCAGGACTGCACCTTGCAAGAGGCCCCCTGTCAGTCTTAGTATTTTATCATGTTCCCATTTAAAAGCATTTTCTGCTCTTCTGTTTCTGTTTTCTACACAGTCTGGCTCTGCATTATGAAACGCCATTTACCGAGGATTCATAGAGCAGCTTTCTCCGACGCGCCCTCCCCCCGCCGCTCCAAGAATCTTACAAATCCTTGACAGTGTGGGGGAGGGGGCTTCTTAGAAAAGGGGACCGGTGCCCTGGAAAGCCAGGGTCCCCTCCCTCCGCCGCTCTGTAGGACAAAGAAGGCAAATCTCTTCGGTGAGAGCTCAGCACTCTCATTCTGGACTGAGGCCATTTTAACCCCAATTCGACCGCGGGCCATGGGAAAACAGCCAGGCTCACTGAAGAACCACAGGAAAGGGGCCGCGCTGGGCTGCCGTCGCGCACTCGGAATTTTCTCTGCTCATTCCAGTCTTTTGTTACCTGGGCCGGCTGGTCCCCACAGCCCCACGACTGGAGAAGGACAAGGCTCTGAGGCTCCCACCCAGGCAGCCTTTTATTCAAGAGCACCAGGGCTGCTGGCTTCTCCTCTGGAGGAGGGAGTCCTGGGAGGGAAGGGGGAGGACAGCGGGATATGAAGACGGGGAGTGACAAAGCTGGGAAAGCACGGGTCTCAGCGGGTCCCAGGAGCTTCCTCCCCCCCCCCGCCCCCCCCCCCCCCCCAACACACACACAGTCACAATATAGGGCTGCGACTCCTTCCAAGCCCGATCCTCTGGGCATTTGACTCCTTTACATAAATGTTAGGATTGGTAGCTTTCCAATATTTCTAGCTGGAGAGCATTGAGAAGAGAAAAAAAGGAAATAATGATGGATTTGCATCTCTTTCTTTCAATTCTTCTTCATTCATTGGCTGTGTCGGTTGCCTAGGAAACCGCGCGCATCTCGGCTGCAGAGTTGGCGGTCAGGCTACCGCGGCTGCTAGATGTGTATTAAGTGGTGAAGGCAGGCAGGCAGTGGGAAAATCCGAAAGCTAGATGTCTTGTAATTTCAATGTGTATAAAAAAATATGTCTTGCTTTTAGAAAACAATGCTTTGAAAATTTACTACCACGTCAGCTAGTAATGCCCCCTTTCTATCAGACTTCTTCAATTAATTAAATAATGACTCTCTGAGTAACAGATAAATGCAAAACCACTTGAGAATTTGCCATTGAAAAGACCCTGAAAGTTGTGAGAGTAAGTATAATTTTAATAGCTTAGGGGGTATCTTACCTCAGCCACACAATCAGTTCTGGATAAAACAAATGTTAAATTTTATTTTACTCTGTTATTTCTGCAACTATCTCAGGAAGGGGAAATTTAGAAATATTAGTACATCATTAAAACACTAACAGCATGTAAGTAATGACAAAATATATTGTCCTGCTAACTTCATCTGACATACAATGACCTAGAACTGTGTACAATAAACAGACAAAAAGAAATGCTGGAGGACTCAATTGAGAACGAATCTTTTTTTTTTTTTTTTTTTTGCTTTGAAAGCCCCTTACTAGCTTCTTTTCGAGAGCTACACGGATTTAAGGATGATAAGGGTTAGCTGACGAACTGAAAGACTTCAGGGAAAGACTTGGCTGTCTTCCAACACGAGATCAGGTCCTTGTGAAAATAAAAATGTGCAGCATCATAATTCCAGATTGGGGAGAGGGGCGTAGAGCAGTTAACCAGAAGGCCGGCTCGGAAGGGGGCGGGGGTGGGGGGGAGGACAATACCCGCAAAACGTGTGAAAGGAAAGTAGATCTTCAACCAAAAGTGCCGAGTCCCCAGGGCGTCCGGGCTTTCAGAAGGATGAGTTCCAGCCTCCCCCTATTCCAAACCCCGTCCCCTAAAAGAAAAACCGAGAGGAAAGGGTGCGTGCTTTTATCCACACGGTCTTGAACATGCGTTTTCACGCGAGCACTCCGCGGAGATCTGGCTCTGAAACAGAAGCTGAGAAATGAGACCGCGGGGTGGGGGGCCGGCGGCGGGCTCAGATGACCGCGCGGCGTGGAGGCCCTCGGCGCCGGCAGCCGGGTGCTGACCGCTCTCCACGCGTCTGCCGCAGCAGCGCAGGGGCGGCCCTCGCTTGGTGCCTTCCCGTGAGGCTCAGTCCCGTCGGAGCCGCCATCCCTAGGTCCCTGTGCTGACACCATTCACAGCCCTAGAGCCCTGGACCTTCGCCGAGGTCAGGCCAAGAGGCAGTCACCTTCCCCGAGGTCTGGGGCGCCCGGAAGGCGAGATTCCGGCCTGAACCCTGTCTGTAACTTGCTGTGTGACCTTGGGAATCGCTCGCCCTCGACGTTTCTGCAACTGTAGGACCTGGGGTAGAAACTCGGAGTCAAGCCCCAGGGCTTGGACCCCACAAGTGGGGCATGTGGGCGGACCTTCCACTCCTCTGCCTCTCTCCCGACCCCACCCTAAACCCCACACGGTAGCCACGTCTGGGGAACTCTGCCCTGAGCTTCAGTCTGGGCGAAATGGGTGTCTGGGGGCTGCTGGGCTTTTGTTCTCTATTCCTCTTTGTGTACTGGAAACGAGCTGCAAGCCCCCCTTCCACCCCCCAGCGGGAAAGGGAGGCGATGACAGCTTGCCGATGGTTCTGGGAGAGTCTCACTCAACAGCTGCAGGCTCCGCTCAGCACCACCGGAACCCCGGTCATTGGGCCCCTGTCGCCAGAGGATGAAAGGGGGTCATGCCACCTCGCAGACGACCTTTCCCTCGTCAGGAGGGGGCGGGGGCGCTTCCCCCTGGAATTGCAGAGACCAGGCTCCCGGTCTGCAGAGAACGTTTCAGCCACCCTTTCCCCTCCCACCCTACGCGGGTTCGGCTCTCCCTCCCTCCCTCCCTCCCTCTCTCTCTCTCTCTCTCTGTCTCATACACTCACACACACACACACACACGTAAAGTAACAAAGAGATCAGTTCCTTCTTCGACTACCAGGAGACTGGATTTGAAGGCGTGTCCGTGCTCCGAGTCTACGCGCACGCGCTGTGTGTGTGTCTGGGTCTCCGGTGGCCTGTTCCTCGCGCTGCAGCAGTTTTTAGGCGTGTCCCTCACTCCCATCAGCAGCACGAGGTTGAGGACCTCGTAGCCGCCTCGGGGCCCGGACCCTGATGGAAGATGAGAATATTAGCAGTGCGGCAGGCGATGACCACCCTTAGAACCCACCCCCTTACTGGACAATGGATGAACCGAACCCAGAGAGGGGGTGCGCCTGGGGCGTAATTTTTAAATACTCAATTGTGGGAGATATTTCATGCATCTGTGAGCTCTTTGTTCTGCCGCAGCCCCGCCCGCCGGACCCCACCCTTGTTCAGACCGCTGGACAGTCACACTGCGCGGCCAGCCACTCCCACCCCAGCCACTCCCAAGGAACAAAAGTCAGCCCGCGGGCTGGAGGGGTCCTTGGTACCAGCCGGGGAGCTGTGGACTCTTGGAGAGGGTCGGGCAGGACCGGAGGGGGCGCGGAGGTCGCCTCATCCCTGGATGCTGCAGCAGAGACAAAAGAGAGAACAGGCGGATGCTGGGGGCGGGGCACAGGACACCCTGGGGCTCTTGGGCCTTGGGTATCCAGGGTCTCGACTCTCCAGACCCCAACATTCTGATCACGCACGACTTCCTCCTGCGACCACCTGTCCTCTCCCGAGCCTCTGTGTGAGGGGCGAGCCGGCGCGGACAGTTGTCGGCCTCTGGGGTTGGGAAAAGGGCAGTGGTCTCACCAGGGGCGGGTGGCTTAGGGATCTCTGGCCCTTGGCAGAGGAGGCGCCGCAATGCGCGATGGCAGCGCAGCGTGCGCCGCTTCAACCCTTCCACCTGCCAGAGCCCGGAACACAGCACGCTCCTTCCCCGCGTTCCTGACGGCCTCCCCACCTGCTCCAGTCCTCCTGCCCACCCCATCCAGTGCCAGCCCTCCCCCCATACCTGACCTGCCATACTGGTCGCCATCGCCTAGCCACCCTCCCGCCCACGGTTCCTTTACCCACCCCCAATTCTCAGTCCCAACTTTTTCTACCTCCCCGCAGTCTTAGACAATGGGCACGCCCCCACCCTACTCCCGGGAGCCCCCTCTCCTCTCCGGGTCCGCAAAGCTGTGCTGATTGGCCGCGGGCCCATGGTCCAGCCCCTGGGCCGGTCCCTGGGCCTCGGAGCATTACGTCAGCGGGTCCTGGAGAGAGCTAGCGCGAAGGGGACTGGGGGGCTCGGGCTAGGGGCGCGGCCTGCGCGGGCCGCCCCACCCTCCTTGCATAAAAGGCCGAGCCCGCGGGGCCGGCGCTCTCAGCCGGTCGGTTCCTGGGCGCGTTCCTGGTGACCCCGCAGTGGGTGTGTAAGGGAGGACGGACAGACTTACCAGACGCCGACCGGGGCCAGAAGAAGCTAGCCAGCACCATGCGTGAGATCGTGCACATCCAGGCTGGCCAGTGCGGCAACCAGATCGGCGCCAAGGTGGGCGCGCCGCGGGGAGGGCGCCAGTAGGGGGCGGGGACCTGACCTAACGCCCCTCGGGGTTCCGGGGCGCGAGCGCCGTCCTGAGCAGGCCCGGGAGTCTCCAAGCGCAGACCTTCGCGGCTGCTTTGTGCAGCGGAGTAGGGCGTGGGCTGGAGGCGACTCTCGGAGGGAAGGATGGGGGAGGAACCTCTTTTTCTTTTTTGCTGTAACTCATTTTGAATCGCGGTCCCTCCTCGGTCTCCCTTACCCTGCTCGCCGCTTAGCCAGGCCCGCGGGCCTGGAGAGGGCGCGGGTGTGTCCGCGAGGCTGTGCGCGCGCGTTTGTGGAAGGGGCAGGGACACAGGAATTGATTTTACTCGCTTGAACCCGAGTCGAGCTGCGGGGGTAGGGGAGGAGAGCGACTGTCTTGAGGTCTCGGGACGTGCTTTGAATCTAAACCCACCCTCCCTCGGCTCCCTCTCGCCTGTTCCCCCGTTCACCCCCTCCGCGCTGGAGTCCCCGCTCGCCCGCCCCCCGCTGTAACCCTGAGCGCCAAGCTCTCCCCCGCCGGTGCCGGCGGTCCCGTTGCTGATCTCCCCCCACCCCCACCTCCTGCGGCGAGCAGCTGTTCGCCCAGGAAACGCCCAATTTCAACTTTCTGACCCTGCAAAATACAAGCCCTGCGGCTGCGACGCGTCATGCTGCCCTAAGCTCCTGACAGGTTGGGTGGTCGGAACGGAGTCGGGCTTTTCATTGTGTGTCGCGGCCTCTCTGTGGGGTTGAGCATGGCTAAATGCAACCTTTTTCCGTGTCTTAGTTTTGGGAGGTCATCAGCGATGAGCATGGGATCGACCCCACTGGCAGTTACCATGGAGACAGTGACTTGCAGCTGGAGAGAATCAATGTGTACTACAACGAAGCCACTGGTGATTGCCTTTTCTTCTCCCTTTGATTTTTCACTCCCCTTTTCCGCTGGACTGACTCCAAGAGTGTGGCCCCAGGGGTGGGTGGACTGGAGGATTTAGGATTCCCACTCTTTCAATGGGGTATTGCAGTGGGCTCCTTTGAGAATCCGGTGGGTCATGTGTCATCTTTTGTTTGGGGGCAACAGCAGAACCTGCAAAAAGGAAGCTGGTACAAGCCCTTGTCTTCCAAGCTCTCTGCCTGCAGGTCTCAGTCTGGCTCTTGTCCCCCACAGGTAACAAGTACGTCCCTCGGGCCATCCTGGTGGATCTGGAGCCGGGCACCATGGACTCGGTCAGGTCTGGACCATTCGGCCAGATCTTCAGGCCAGACAACTTTGTGTTTGGTGAGTGACTGGCGTGGCTGATGGCCTGGGAGGCTTATTTTGCTCTGGACAGTGCAGGGTGAAGGGAAAATATGGAGGACATCCAATTGTGTGCAGGCTTAGTCTTAATAAGAGCTAAAAACGAATTTGCCTTTCAACCTCTAACAGCTAGGTATTCCTAGCCTTCCCTTCTTCCTTTATAATTATATCCATGACTACGTATTTTAATGTCTGGCCATTTTGGTGATAACCTGAAATAATCTCGTCTGAGCACTGACTCGCTGATCTATATTAAGGCGTTTAAGGTAAAAAGGAATTTAATCCAATCGTCAGTGACTTGTGAAGTCTTTTCCTTCTGGCAGGCCAGAGTGGTGCCGGAAACAACTGGGCCAAGGGCCACTACACAGAGGGAGCCGAACTGGTGGACTCGGTCCTGGACGTGGTGAGGAAGGAGTCAGAAAGCTGTGACTGTCTGCAGGGCTTCCAGCTGACCCACTCGCTGGGGGGTGGCACTGGGTCCGGGATGGGCACACTGCTCATCAGCAAGATCCGGGAGGAGTACCCAGACCGCATCATGAACACCTTCAGCGTGATGCCCTCGCCCAAGGTGTCAGACACGGTGGTCGAGCCCTACAATGCCACCCTCTCTGTCCACCAGCTGGTGGAAAATACAGATGAGACCTACTGCATCGACAACGAGGCCCTGTATGACATCTGCTTCCGCACCCTGAAACTGACCACCCCCACGTACGGAGACCTCAACCACCTGGTGTCGGCCACCATGAGCGGCGTCACCACCTGCCTGCGCTTCCCAGGCCAGCTGAACGCAGACCTGCGCAAACTGGCCGTGAACATGGTGCCCTTCCCCCGCCTGCACTTCTTCATGCCCGGCTTCGCCCCGCTGACCAGCCGCGGCAGCCAGCAGTACCGGGCCCTGACGGTGCCCGAGCTCACCCAGCAGATGTTCGACTCCAAGAACATGATGGCCGCCTGCGACCCCCGCCACGGCCGCTACCTCACCGTGGCTGCCATCTTCCGAGGCCGCATGTCCATGAAGGAGGTGGACGAGCAGATGCTCAACGTGCAGAACAAGAACAGCAGCTACTTCGTCGAGTGGATCCCCAACAACGTGAAGACGGCCGTGTGCGACATCCCGCCGCGCGGCCTCAAGATGTCCGCCACCTTCATCGGCAACAGCACGGCCATCCAGGAGCTGTTCAAGCGCATCTCGGAGCAGTTCACGGCCATGTTCCGGCGCAAGGCCTTCCTGCACTGGTACACGGGCGAGGGCATGGATGAGATGGAGTTCACCGAGGCCGAGAGCAACATGAACGACCTGGTGTCCGAGTACCAGCAGTACCAGGACGCCACGGCCGACGAACAAGGGGAGTTTGAGGAGGAGGAGGGCGAGGATGAGGCTTAAGTTCACACTTCAAAGCAGGTTAGGAAAAGTTGAGAAGGCAAGCAAGGGGGAGGGGGGCTTCCTGGTGAAAATATCTTGGCAGTTGGAGGAAAGAAGCATGGTCTACTCTAGTTGTGTGCGCTGGTTCTCTGGTGCTCTTCACTGTTGCCTGTCATTTTTTTCCTTTTTGTAACATTGATGACATCAATGTAACATTTGAGGTATTTCTGAACTACTGTTGTAATGGCTAAAATCACATAAACGTTTGTGTCCTAATGGTGTCCTCTTTTCTGTCTCCTTCTTGTCTTTATTGAATTCTTTATTATCTATTTAATTGTAACTTTCTGAACACATCATATTGAATTTTTCCTTTAGAAAAGGGAAGGGATAGGTAAAGGCTCAGATGAGTTTACTCTTCCAGTATAGTGAAATTGAGCCAACCGCCTTCATACCCAATGGATTCCCCATCATGGGAGATGAGCCCAAATTTTAAAATGGCTTTAAGTAAATATTTTATTAGTTGAAAGATGCCTACTTGAAAGCACACTAAATGTATTTTCCTGTAGAAATCCTGCTATGCCTTTATTTCCTTTACAAAAAAATTTTTGTTCTATATGCACACAGCACAAAATCCTAAAGGAGAGAGAGGGGAAAGTCTCTTCCTCCTGGGGCCCTTGGGACAGTCTTCCTCCCTGGAAGGCAACCATTCTTACTGTTTTCTTTCTTGCATCCTTGCAGAAGTATTTCATATATCTTCACGCCTATGTAGGTTATTCCCTTTTTTCTTTCTTCATATGTATTATGATACACTGTTCTGCTGCCTCCTTTTTTTCACTAAACCGTGTATCTTTAAAATACAGAGAGCTTCCCTCCTTTAAATGGATACATAGTATCCGTTATGTATTTGTGCCATCTTTTATTTAACCAATTCCCTACCAATGGAGGTATGGTTGTTTATACTAATCTTATAGTATAACATATAATTGAATGAATCTTGCCACAATGAATCATTTGTGCATATATTACTGTGTATATGAGAATAACTATCCTGTAAATTTCTCTGAGTGGAATTTTCTGTCAAAGGGTATATGATACTATGCCTTTTTAGATTAATGAAATCACCTGTTCTTAGGAATAGCCATAGATTTGTAAATTGTTAATATACTAAAATTCTTAAGCAACTTTTTCTCCTAGTAATCATGTTTATAGTACATTACAAACTATTTGTTCTCAAGTTAACTACCTTTGAATTTATACGAAATTATAAATTCCAGGTTATTGGAAAATTTTCCTTTAAATAGGCAAGCCCCGGGAATTTTCAGTTTATTGCATTCTTACCATGCAGAGCTGGGATTTGGGATTTGAATGCAAGCCTACCATTAGACTCAAACTCAACCACTACAGAAGCCATGGGATTTCAACAAGTGACCTTCAGTCAAGATTATATACTTCTGTAGGATAAATCATACTTTGCCAAAATGGTGCCAATGCTTTGCCTTAATCTGGGCCAGTCACTTTCTCATTTTGGGAATAAAGGTGGAGTGTAAGTTGTAAACAAATGTACAAAACTTATTTACATACCCCTATAGAAAGAAAAACAAGAAGAAAACCATAGGTTTACTATTTTTCTAATTTTTAGACAAATTCAAAATTAGAAAAAAATTGCTTTAAATCTGATTGTGTTTATTTCATTCTACTTGATTCCACTCCCACTTAAATGTTTAAAAAAAGAAAAGAAAAAGAAGAAGAAAGGTGAGGGATGGATAAGAGATTTCCATATTAAAGAGGCTGAAGTATATTTGAAAACAATTTTGAAGAAAAGAGTGAGCAGCGTCATTCTAAATAGTGTGAAACTAAGTCAATTCTACCAAACGGCCCTCATAAATGGAACAGAGCAGCAATTCACTTACAAGTATTATATATCATAAGAACAGGCCCTAGTGATGAGCAGGGTCAAACACGTCAGGAGCCGGTGGCTCCTGCTCTCATGTTCCATATTTAACAGTGAACTGGCAGGTGCCGTTCCT